CGGAGGCCCCGGGTTCAGTCAAGTCCCGCCCTGACCGCTGCTGAGCTGGATTTGTTCACAGTAGTCTCGAGTTCAAATCCTCGGCAATGCTTGTAAATAGCCAACTGGTTTGCCTCCGGCCAGTCGGGATATCTTAAAACCCTGTTAAAGTTCAATTTGAATTATTTGTTTCAGGCATTTGTTTGGCCCCACTAGCATTAGTGCTATAAATACTAATTAGGGTAAATAACGGAGTTATTTCTGTTACATTTATTTATAAAGGAAGAGGTCCTAGGAAATTTTCTTCAATCGAAGTTGAAAATTCATTCATAGCATTAACAACATAGCACCTGCCTCAATTCACCAGCTGGTTACAGCCAATCAAAGTCGTGATTACCGCACACGTCACAATTTGTCAAATAACCTTTATAACCGACCACGAGAACATGTTCCGCTTTTGCTTTCATTTAATTACATTGGACTGGCAGAATCCAAGTTCTTTAGGACGCTTCACAAAGAATAAGCACTAGAGATGGCTGGGCAGAACGTGATCTGGCTTGACGGAATAGCCAAGGGTCCTGGAATCGTTGAAAAAATTTCTCCTGGGAGACATGTCAGGCAAGACGAATGGCAGCCGCAATGGAACTACATGTACCTTCCGCCAAACGGCATGGGTCACCGCTACGATTACATCTCCGACTATGACTGTATTTTTAACCATCCCATGGATGACATAGTAGGTAATCAACACTTACAGTATAATCAGGAGGGCTGGCAGAATTTACAAGACGCCAAAAATCAAGGTTGGCCCTTAGAAATCACAGATCTTGCCCACTTTACAAACGATGGAGCCGCCAAGCAGATCGTTAAGTCTTATGGCTTCCGAGGTGGGCTAAAGAAAATCAATGACGACAAAAACCATGATGATGTTTTCGCAAAGCTCTCGTGGTGGAGTCCAGTATTTACAGATGCAGAGAGAAATAGCCTTCGTGGGCATCTTGGAGAAGTCATACAACCTTTCACTGATCCGGAAGAGGGTGATGACAATAAGCAATGTACGTAAATGGGGTAAGCTGCGGGCTGGCTTATTCGTACTTTCTATCGCGCGCCATAATTTTCCCCGAATTGAAACAAGTGAGCCTGTTAGTATGAAGGGAGGGGCAGACAACCCTTATTCTCCAACCTTGTTCCCAGGGCTTTTTCCAAGCCCTGGGAACGAGATTGCTTATTGTGGAGAAAAACTAACCATTATTTCAATTCGTAGCTTCATCAGGAAAATGAAGCTTCGCTTCGGTATATTTTATTGTGAGAAAAAAGGTCGAAGAAGTTGTACGAAATTGTGGAGGAAAAAATTACATGGTGTAATAACAGCGACAGTAAGTCGGAACATAATGAAACCGTTATTGGTTTAGCTCATTGTTTTTGCTTTTATTTAGAATGATCGAGTAGTTGATAAGTGTTTTTCCCCTGTGACGGCGCGACTGTCGGCCTTTACCTTGGGCTTTAGACAATTCCAGTCGCTTTTTAAAAATTAGTTTATAGAGATCACAAAAAGCCGAATTCACTGATTCGGTTTTATCATGACAGGTGCTTTTTAACTTCTTTTAGATCCCTATAGCGACTCAGTAACACTTTTGGGCAAGGCTAATAAGTGTTTTGTCTGGTCTTTTCTCATGACTGTTTGAATAGAAAATTCCGTGTAATGGATAAATCACCTAATAAATGGAAGTGTCCAAGAAGAGAGGTTTTGCAAGCGAAATTTGTATTACAACTCAGTTTATATGATTGCCACCATAAGGAGCTTAAGTTTGACTGAATCTCAGTACTAGTGCGAGAACTTTATCTTACCGTAAAAAAGGGTCCCTCTTCGACACACTATTCTTTTTAAATAGTGAAGAATGCCCAGACTTCAAAATCCAATCGCACAGGCTTAATTTCGGGCCGGGGAATCGAAGAAAGCGGCATATACGTTTTGGATATCTATTCAATTTTAGCATGCTTGTACCATGACTCTTGAATCAGGACTCTTGGGCAGGAAGGTCACCTCCTCCGGGCGCTGCTCCAAAGCCCAAATGTGCCCGTTTACTTGTGTTTACTCCCTTGCGCGCACAGAAAGAGGCAACTCCTCTCCCTTTGTTCTTGGGCCATCGTACCTTGATAAGAAATAGAACACAATCAGCGGTGATAAACATATTTAACTTACTCATTTTTAGAAACTTGACGTGTCGTATGCTAGTCAGCATAAATTTTCAAAAGTACTGTTACAATTTTGAAAACTTTACTTATATGATAGTGAAAAGGGACTGGGACCGAGATTAAGCACAAAACTTGAGAGTTAATCTATAACTAGGGCTCATAGTTCACACTGCTCTCCATGTTCATGACATGCCGTAAGACATTGCATGAGTTGCGTCTCGTACGTTATCTGTGGATGTGTAAATTATTAAGTGCTTCAAAGAGAGGATAAAGGGGACAGAGAAGGCATCCCCCATACACACCCTATTCCAAAGGTAATTCGTCTCGAGTTATTTTTAGAATCGGGATAAAGCTACCTCGCACGCTGCGTGGGGGTTTCGTGGAGGTTTCGCATGACTAAACGCCGTGCAAACCATGTCGGGCGAAAGGAAATGAAAGCGTAAAGAGATCAAGAGCATTTCTGAATATTGAAGCGAAATGAGTCGGCGCTCACCTGCGAAAAGGGAATTGCTGGACTCTGACAACTCGTGAAATCAGTTTAACTCAAAGTTGTCGTAACCTCAGTGCTTTAATAAAATGAGAAATTTCGCCGATCGACTATTGAAAACGGTCGTTTGTATAATAAAACAAGTAGGACGCCAAGTGTTATTTTGTTGAATAATAAAAGACTAATAAAGGAATAAATATCAAACCAGAAATTGCTTTCTTCAAACTGTAAATTATAAATGATCCTGAGAGAATATTCAGTGTGTTGAGGATTTCCCTGCTGTACTGTTAGCTCTATACAAGAGAGGAAGGCCGATTCTTTTTTAATTTCCGTTTCGCTGACACAGCTTTAGCAGAAATCTCTCTTTAGTCATGTTCGTCGACAAAACGAATAGCAATATCGCTCTCCGCGTCTTCCGCTATTTTTTTCAGCGTCAATTCGCGAAGGACGCATGGCTCTGAGCGTGGGTCATCCACGCGGAACACATTTGCGCAACGCGATTGGCTGTTGTCTAATCCCCATCGGGATCTGTGGTCTTAAAAATAACTCGAGGCGAATTACCTATGGAATAGGGTGTGTATAGGGGATGCCTTCTCTCTCCCCTTTATCCTCTCTTGGTGCTTAGTAAACGTTAACGTAACTCTCGGTCACGTACTGAAAACCTGAGCCCTCGGTGTTTCTGGGACAGCATAATATATACAGAATCCCTTTATATGCAGTCACGGAAACATGATTTCGTTTAGTGGCTCTAAACCTTTTTTTTTTTTTCATAAAACGAATAAACGAAATAGTGAAATAAAGCAAAAAAAGGTAAGTCAACGAAGCGGGAAGCCCCATGAATCAATTCCACACACACATTTTAAGTTGCATTTAAAGTATGACAAGTATGGGTTCATTAGGTATTCAAAATATAAAATGGAAGAATGACGCGATATCGTAGGTAGGAACAGGGGCCTCTGCTTTCCATGTCCCTAATAAAGATGAGATAATGCGGTGTCATTTGCTCGTCGACCATCTCAGGATCATTGACCGAGACCGGGAACTTAAGAACACATAATTGAACAGCTCCCAACATTAGTGGCTTTATGGCTCAGTTGGTGAGTGGGTGTGCCCCGCTAACCAAGGAAAAATTAAAACGCCATTAAATGACTGCAAAAGATTATCTTTGAAAAGGTAAGGTAAGGTTCAATGGATAAGCAAGAAAATTTACTTTTCTTTGTAGGATCGACCGGAGTGCAAATTACATTTGGTGCTATAGTGACTAAAACACTTATATAACACGATCCATGCATCCCAGAGCAGTGATACTGAACAAAGGAGTTCTGAGCTCATAAAATTTTAGGCTGAATAAGAGCCATGACGTTCTCAGCAGGTGGACAACTTCTTTAACAATTTTCTATACGGAGTGAACATTTCAACTGAAATTCAAAAATTTGTTGCATTGAATTTACCCTCTGCAAAAGACAAAAACACACTTGAAAAAACACGGAATTGTAACAATCTGTTCAAATAGCGCACTGTATTCAACTTGAGGTGCTCTGAGGTGTTTTTTTTCTGTCTTTGAAGAACAAAAATTGTCGGGTTAAAATTTCAGTGAAAAGGTTACCTCTATGAGATGAACAGTTCAAACCATGACTGCTCCTTGCTCACATGTTAGTAAGTAGTACATGTATACATGCTTTTATTTGAAGCTGCTTTTCACTACAGCAAAGGTGTATTTGGCTTTTCAGGCTTTTAATAGCAATCAAAGGATGAGGCAGCGTGGCTAAGCGGTTAGAGCGCCCGACTTGCAATTCGGAGGCCCAGGTTCAGTCAAGTCCCGCCCTGACCGCTAGTTGGATTTGTTCACAGTAGTCCCGAGTTCAAATCCTCGGCAAGGCTTGTAAATAGCAAACTGGTTTGCCTCCGGCTAGTTGGGATATCTTAAAACCCTGTTAAAGTTCAATTTGAATTAATTGTTTCAGGCATTTGCTTGGCCCCACTGGCATTAGTGCTATAAACACTGCCGAGGGTAAATAACGGAATTACTTCAGTTATATTTATTTATAAAGGAAGAGGTCCTAGGAAATTTTCTACAATCGAAGTTGAAAATTCATTCATCGCATTAATAACATAGCACCTGCCTCAATCCACCGGCTATCAAGCAGACAAGAATTGGTTACCCTTGATTGGTTACAGCCAATCAAAGTCGTGATTACAGCACACGTCACAATTTGTCAAATAACCTGTATAACCGACCACGAGAACATGTTCCGTTTTCGCTTTCATTTAAAATTACATTGGACTGGCAGAATCCAAGTTCTTTAGTACGCTTCACACAGAATAAGTACTAGAGACGGCTGGGCAGAACGTGATCTGGCTTGACGGAAAAGCCAGTGGTCCTGGAACCGTTGAGAAAATTTCTCCCGGGAGACATGTCAGGCAAAACGAATGGCAACCGGAATGGAACAACATGTTCCTTCTGCCAAACGGCATGGGTCACTGCTACGATTACATCTCCGACTATGAGTGTATTTTTAACCATCCCATCCATCACGTGGACAATCAACACTTACAGGAAAATCAAGAGCGCTGGCAGAAATTACAAGACGCCAAAACTCAAGGTTTGCCCTTACAAATCAAAGATCTTGCTCACTTTACAAATCATGGAGCCGCCCATCAGATCGTTAATGATGATGGCTTCCGAGGTGGGCTAAAGAAAATCAATGAAGACGAAAACCATGATGATGTTTTCGCAAAGCTCTCGTGGTGGAGTCCAGTATTTACAGATGCAGAGAGAAATAGCCTTCGTGGGCATCTTGGAGAAGTCATACAACCTTTCACTGATCCGGAAGAGGGTGATGACCTAGATGCCTTGAAAAAACAATTCGCTACTTCTGATGCCTTCCAGCCTAAAGCTTGGCGGTATGGAAGACACTTATTTCGGTATGACCTAAACGAGTTGTGTGAAAATTACAGCCAACTTATCAATGACGAGCCGCAGTACAAAATATTGGGAACGTTTGGCTACAAGAAGGAAGTTATGCATGCTGTTCTTGTTTGTAGCGAAGCAGATGGCGTTTGGCAGTTTTCAGACTATCCAGATGTGCCAGAGGAAGATTTCAACAATGAAGCAGTAGTTGTTACCCGTGATGATGATAGCAACTGGTATTGGAGACCTCAGGCAACCGGAGGAGATGAGATTCTACGCCTCCGAGCACATTGGCAAAGTTATCCGCAATATCGTAGGTGGGAACACGTGGCCTTTGCTTTTCACATCCCTGACGACGAGATAATGGTGTGCGATTCCCCTCTCGACCATCATTGTACACTTGGCTGGAAATGGTGACGACAGTGAAGATGAAGACTGATATGTTGTTTATTGAGTGTGATTCTTGCCGTCTTTGGTGTTACTCTTAACGGAAGATGTACCTTAGATTGGTAAATTGGACATTGTCAGTGCTATTATATAGTTTGGCTTCTTTATTTTATATTCAAAGTTTATAATAATCCATGAGCGCGCTACCGTTAGATTTATTAGTACAGAAAGTCGCTTAGGGGCAACCAACGACGGTTTTCTCCTAAATACATAGACTGAAATACTTTTTAGGCTATCCGGAGTACTTTTAGATCTCTAGTTATGCATTGTAAGCGGCGCTGTAATTATAATTTGTATCTATTCGGCCATCCTAGGGGAACTTGAGTCTTTTCGAAATAACATGGGCTTCAGTATTATTTTTTCCGAAGATTTTAGATGCAATTTAACTTATTACGAAAGTGAAAAAAATTACATGATGTAATAACAGCGACAGTACGTCGGAACATAATGAAACCGTTATTGGTTTAGCTCATTGTTTTTGCTTTTATTTAAAATGATCGAGTAGTTGATAAGTGTTTTGCCTCTGTGACGACTGTCGGCCTTTACCTTGAGTTTAAGACAATTCCAGTCGCTTTTCAAAAATTAGTTGATAGAGATCACAAAAAGCCGAATTTACTGATTCGGTTTAATAATGACAGGTGCTTTTTAACTTATTTAGATCCCTATAGCGACTCAGTAATACTGTTGGGCAAGGCTAGCTTACAAGTGTTTTGTCTGGTCTTTGCTCGTGACTGTTTGAATAAAAAATTCCGTGTAATGGATGATAAGTGGAAGTGTCCATGACGAGAGGTTTTGCAAGCGAAAATTGTATTACAACTGAGTTGATATGATTGCCACCGTAAGGAGCTTCAGTTTGACTTTAAGAGTTTTCCGGGTCTTGGTTTTTTTCGGGGTCTTAGTTTTCCCGGTCTTAGGTCTTAGATCTTAGTTTTTCCGGGGCCCTTCTATGAAGGTCTCAATGGGGTGGTGGCTTTTACGGTTATCGGCTAAAATCTTGGCTCTTTTACGGCTATCGGTTAATTTTTTTCAGTTACGGTTAACAAAAAAGTTAAAAATTAATTTCTTTTGTTCAAAGAGTTAAATATTAATAAACTTGTATTTTTTTGTATCTTTTAAAGCAAAATAAAGGTCTTAAGTTCATCTCGGGATGAAATAAGGTATTCTTTGGAAAAATTTTAACATTTGGTAGATCATACTTTTTATAAAGGATCCACTTCTAATATTATTTTACATGAGAAATGTCAACAGTCAATTTAAAATTAATCTTCGTGAAAAAGCAAAAGCAGACTACGCGAACGCCCAACTCGAGGCCGGGGCGCGACATTCATTTATAACAGAAATGGCCGTTTTCGCACTCTTTTTAAGAGACGGATTATCCGTGTGAGACGGGTTAGCACCTTCCTTAAAGTTAACAAATCTAGGGAACAATTTCTTTTACGGTTAACTCCTTTTTGCCCTATTTGCAGCTAACGGTTAAAATTTTCCATTTTTTACGGCTATCGACTTAATTTTTGGCCGTGTAACCCCATTGAGACCCTCTTTTCTGGGCCATACGCCACTTGCGCATCTCCCATAATGCACCTTATTTGCCCTCAAAAATTTTGCATAAGTATTGTTTTCAATTTCTCTTGGGGCGACTGTAATACCCAGGAGGAATGAAAAACCAAGGTTATGCAAAATTTGGGGGGCGCAACTAAAGTGCATTATGGGAGATGTCCAAGTTGCGTATATGCTTTTTTTGCGCCTTGGCGCTGATTGCAAAGTAAGTATTTTCCTCTCTTTAGCAGAAATGTGGCAGTGTATGAAATATCGTCAAGTGGTGAGGTGGGTTGAATTTTCAATGTGTATTGTCACGTCACTCAACCCTTCCTGTCCTTTACAATCACTACTGCGGACGTTCGGTGATTGCTGCGTAACGGCACTGTAATGCGAGGAGAACGTGATCGAAAGAAATCTCACACAGTCAAACGTTTTGTACGGATTTTTAAATGGTCTGGCTTTGTTTAGTCTGGATCCTTTGTGAACACTAGAGATGGCTGGGAGCAACGATTTAATCTGGCTTCATGGAAAAGCCAATGTCCCAGGAAACCCTGAGAAAATCTGTCCTGGGATGTCAGACAAAACGAATGGCAACCTGAATGGAACGATATGTACCTTCCGCCAAACGGCGAAGGTGACCGCTACGATTACATCTCCGACTATGAGTGTATTTTCAAGCATCCCGTGAGTCACGCGGGTAATAAACAAGAGCATTGGAAGAAATTACAAGACGCCAAAACTCGACTTGGGGGAACAACCATGCAAATAAGAGAACTTGCCCACTTTACAAACCCAGAAGCTGCCGATCAGATCGTTAGTGATCATGGCTTCAGAGCGGGGCTGAAGAAGATCGACAAAGACGAAAACGATGATGACATCATCGCAAACCTCTCGTGGTGGAGTCCCATATTTACAGAGGACGAGAGAAAGAACGTGCGCGAGCATCTTGCAGAAGTGATAAAACCTTTCACTGAAGAAAGGGAGGATGACCTCGATGCTTTGAAGAACCAATTCGCGACTTCTGATGCTTTCCAGCCCAATCCGTTGCGTTATGGAAACCACTTATTTCAGTATGAAATAAACGAGTTGTGTGACCATTACAGTCAACTTAACTTATCGATGGCGAGCCGCGTTACAAAATATTGGGAACGTTTGGTTACAAGCAGGAGGTTAACTAGGTTAAGCATTCTGTTCTGGTATGTAGCGAAACAGATAGCGCCGGGAAGTTTGAATGCTACCCCGATGTTTTATTCCCAATGGAAGATTTCTACAGTGAAGCTGTCATAACGCGTGATGACTTTGACAATTGGTATTGGAAGCCCCAGGCAACTGGAGGAGGTGAGATTCTCCGCCTTCAAGCCCATTCGCAAAATTATCCGCGATATCGTAGGTGGGAACACGTGGCCTTTGCTTTCCACATCCCTGACGACGAGATAATGGTGTGCGATTCGCCTGCCGACCATCGCAAAGTCATCAACAATTTTGGCAACATTTTAGAACTACCCAAGAACGATAATAAATGTGTATAGTGAAGCGTCAGGACAAAATAAATAACTTGAATAGTTCGTTCTTTTCTGTAGCAGTTGTTCATTCCGGGGTGAGGAGGGTACTCCCAATGATGACTAATATGGGGAGGCTCCGCCCGAAAGGGGTTCTTTTTTCAGGCTTCAGGTAACTGAAAGAAGAGTGATTTCATTTGTTGAAGAACATGAAAGGGTAGGGAAATCTGTCATTTCGGTCGGGTAAAAGCTTAAGGGCCCAATCATATGCATTTTATGGCTGTGAAAATGTCGAGAAAACGTTGTGGTTTTGTGATTTGTTCATATTTAAAAGACAGTAGCCTGAAATTCATCCGATTACTTCGAGTCGTTTTCTCCGTTACTGAGGGAAAATAACGACTCGAAGTAATCGGATGAAATTCAGGCTAAAAGAGAGTGCATTTACAGCAGTTAAAAGGGATGTAAAGTTCTAAACAAGATATGTGAAAGGGGCACCATTTGTCAATAGAAGGTATACGAAAGGGGTAACCGTTTTTGTTAAGGGGTCGGACCTGGGGGCGGAGCCTCCACGTAAATCGTACTAAAAGAACTTTGTTGATTACCCCCCCCCCCCCA